GCCGAAGTGTGCTTCTTTGGGGCACATTTACGGAGTGATTGTATGCGGTGCCCGACTTCATCCACTTGAGCCTTGGGAAGGAAATAGGCAGGATCGTAGAAGCGTGGGCAGTCCCCCGCAGACCGTCGGTGTCTATGATGAAAGTTCCCGTCCGTCGCAATATGAATGTCGCCGCCCTCGCTGAGTGGTCTTCCAAAAAGCACGCCTGCGAAGCATGCAGGACAACGCTGCATGAGAATGGAGGAGCACCTGCCTTTGACGAGTGTTGTATTGGATGATGTGGGCGTGGATATACCACTGTCAGTCTGGAAGTTGAGGTCTCCGAGCCTCGTACACTCGTTCTCGAGCAATTTGTACTGCTGCTTCAGTTTGACGCTCAACTTCAACCTGCAAGATGTCAAACCATTGAACAGCTTGCCCAAGGCTACGTCGAAAAGGTTCTTGGATGATTTGGCCCTTTTGTAATGAGCAACCGTCTGAGAGACTGATGAAAAAAAAAAGACTTACATCTCCACGTGTCATTTGAAACCCTCTGCGAGCATAGTGAGTCTTGAGAGCAGATGCAAGCGCATGAATGGCATCGCAGGAACGCTCGAATAAGGCTCGATAAAACGCAAGTAGTTCGATGGAAATGGCCATGCGTGGTTGAGAAGGCGCGGTAGGAAAGAGGCCGTGGTGGACGAGAACTTGTGCGAGTGTTGAGCATGCACAGACTAATACATCTACAAGAAGGAAACCTGCAATCGTCAGTTGGAGCTGCTTGAACAAATGAACAACTCACGATCAAATAAAAGGCAAATTATCGAAATTCGTCGCGGTGCGCAACTACGCTTTGCACAGGCAGATATCACCGGGCATGCTTCTGGAAGAGGATGCCCGTGTGTTCTGGCTGAATACTTCAAGAACGCTTCCACCAGGGTAGGTACAAGTGCCTTCCAAGCGCTATGGAGATTGTTGGACATCTTGTTTGGCAGGATGCGACGCCCAGGGTTCTCATGCTCCAAATCTGTAGGGTCAGAAGTGCCTGGGTCAGGCTGGTCTGCAATGACTACATAGTCGTCTGAGTTAGCGTCATAGATGTAATCTGTCGGGTCGTCGTAATTAGAATCGTCGATACTCATCGCGGCTTCGGATTGAGGAGGGGTGGAGACAGAACTAAGATTTTGGGTATGCAGAACTGGGGGTGGATTCATCAGGGTGGCCATTTGGTCAAGGAGACGCTTATGCTTGGCATCGACGCCAGGAATGTGAACAAAAGCCTGAGTTTTCTTCAGGTCTTGAGATTTCTTGGGGCTTATAAAATGAAGGCCAAGCCCTGAAGATGTTGGCAGAGCGCCACGCGCATTGCGAGCGGGGGGCATGGCTAGTAGTGGAGGACAAGGAAAAGGAAAAATTGAAAAGGACTTAGTGTGTGAGCAGAGTACTGTCAGGCACGAATGGCAGCCTTAAGGACATATCGACGAGGTTTGTGATCATCACAGGACATATTGACGATGTTTGCGATCATCACAGAGGAGTGCCGTGTATCCTGGGAGGGCCAGGATGGTTTGTCGAGGATCCCAGGAGGCGCTGCAGGAGGAAGCAAGGTATATTTGGTGGTACTAAAAATAGAACATCTCTGAGGCTAGGTCTACGAGATAGGGTTTCATCTAACATAATAATACCCTCTAAATGACCTTTAATACCACCGAGAAGTAATGCCTGAGGTGCATATGCCCATGCACCCACTCTGGCAAATCAAGCAAGTCATTTCTTATGAAGGTGAAAGGCGGGTCGATCGTGCCAATGTGTTTGGTGGACGTGCATCTCAATGTATCTTCCACGCTTTCATGTCACTTGTGATATGGATCGCGGTCTTTGTATGACTCATTCAAGCCTTCATCTATGTCGACGATTCTTTTTCTTTCGCCAAGGTTGGCGACATGTCTTACTATGTCAAGTATCGCAAGATGCTTCCTACGGATATGGTTGCTCTCCTTCTTCTCTGGGATGAACTGGGCATCCCACATGAGGAACGGAAGCAGATTTTCGGATCTCCACTCCCCGTCATTGGCTTTGAGGTGGATCTGAATTTGATTGAAGATATCCCTCAAGGAGGAGTCTAAAAAAGGTTTAGTACACGAACTTCGTGCGTTCGCAAAGCATAAGCAGAAGAGATCACTTCGGGACTTCGAGCACATCGCCGGCTCCCTCAACTGGGCGTTGAATGTTTGCCCGCTCCTTCGGCCCGGGCTTTCAGCGGTTTACACCAAGATGAAAGGAAAGACTAATTCAAAGGGTATGCTATGGCTAAACCGAACCGTCGTTGACGAGTTGCTCTGGGCAGTGTTTCACCTTGCCTGCTCTGACGGTATTTACTTACTCAAATCAGTCTCTTGGCATATTCAACCTCTTGGCCCGGATATCCTTCAAGTTTTCTGTGACGCCTCGGGTTCAGGCATGGGATTTTGGTATCCCAGTTTTAACCTCGGGTTCCAATCTAATCTTCCCAAGCCTTCACCTGTCCAGGACATCTTTTTCTTTGAGGCTCTTTGCATGGCCTCTGCTATCCACGACGCTGTTTCACGGCTTCCGGAGAGTGGTCATCTGGCGGTATACACCGACAGCCTTAATATGGTGTTCTTGTTCAACTCATTGTCGGGTAGAGCAGGCTATAACCGTCTTCTAATGGATGTCGTAGAGGTTATCCTTGCCTACAGCATGGACTTTAGAGTTTTCCACGTATCTGGCGACAACAATGTTGTTGCAGATCATCTTTCTTGATGGCGTACTAGGGAGGCTACAAGATGCTCGCCTGGATTATGAATCTTCCCTTTTCAACCCCCTCGGAATGCGCTGGGGGCATCAAAAAAATGATTTGTACGTCAGTTGAGGCGAAGCAGCCAGTTCATGCTGCTTGGCCAATGGAACGCCTCATTCATGAGCGTTCCATTAACCTCAGTCTTGCTCTTGATAGGTCGACTAATCAATCCTACTCTTCGGCACTCAATTCATATGTTACTTTCTGTGATTTGCACCATCTCGCACTTGATCCGACGGTTGACACCCTCTCCCTCTTCGTCACTTTTATGTCGGCTCATATTAATCCTCGTTCAGTGGACAACTATCTCTCGGGTATTTGCAGTATCCTGGAGGAGTTCTATCCGCACGTCAGACAAAATCGGCGTTCACGTATCATGTCTCGCACGTTACGTGGAGCTAAATGTCATTATGGAGTTCCTATTCGACGTAAACTGCCTCTTACCCACGCGGATCTCCAAACCACCTTGGCGTCTATGCCAAGGTCACCATCTCATGATGATCTTCTTTTTATCGCACAGCTCTTTGACGGGTTTTACGGCCTTCTGCGTCTCGGTGAACTTGTTTGGCCTGATAACTCGTCCCTGCGGTCGTTTGCAAAACTTACCCTGCGTACCTTGGTAATTCTTGCCGACTCTCATCACTCCTTCGTCCTTCGGCGGCACAAATCTGACGTCCAATTCGAAGGTAGTACCATTGTGATACAGCGTGCTGAATCCGCTGATCCTCATGGTGCCTTCATCTCCTACCTCGCATCTCGCAACAAAATGTTTCCATTCAACAGTCTACTCTGGCTACGCAGTGATGGGTCTACTCCCACACGTGTGTGGTTCATCACTCGTCTGCAGGCATTGTTTCCTGATTCCATATCGGGTCATTCCTTGCGGGCAGGCGGGGCTACTTCACTTGCAGCTTCTGGTGTTTTGGCTGATCATATTCAAGCTATGGGGCGTTGGTCAAGTGATTTGTTTCGAATTTACATACGGAAAAAACCCCGCATTACTTCATGCGCTCGTTTTCAATGGGCGGTCCATCCATGATCCAGTAACACCGTTCCAAGCCATCTAACAACATCTCTGAGTCAATTATCTTTATCTTTATCTTTATTTACTTACTCCCTCCCTTCCTCATAGCTGGAGTGTTAGCATTGTATATTAGGTACGGGCTCGAGTTTGCGGTTGTTTGTGACCGAATCCATTGGGGGCCTCTTGCTCTCGCAACGGGGTCCTCGTTTTGCTGGCTAAATCCTCGTCGTCTGCGTTCCAACGAGACTTGAGTGAGGACAATTAGTCGAGTTTAACTTTATTTACACCAGGGTAATTGGACGAGCGTGCTCCTCAGCAGCCTTGTACTTCGGGTCTTCCCGAAGAGATTACCTTTGTTTAGGGCCAGTCCCTTTGCCACCTTTGACCGATGCCCTGTGCATCTCCCAGCATGTCGTTCATGCCTCTTTTTAGGGCCAGTCCCTTTGCCACCTTTGGTCAATGCCCTGTGCATCTCTCGACGTATTATTCATGCCTTCTTTCGGGCCAGTCCCGTTGCCACCTTTGGCCGATGCATCTGTGCATCATTCGGCATGACTAATATGTCTTAGGCGATCCTCATTGCCACCTCCTTTAGTGGAGTTAACAGTCTATGTCTAGCGAGACTGGGTGTAGCGGAGTTCCTTACCTCTTCTCACTCGAATTACTTGTCTCGCTAAGTACGCTGTTTTCAGTCTTGAGTTTTCGTGCCTCTTCTCACTCGAATTACTTGTCTCGCTAGCAATCTTTTGCGCACCCACCCATTTTAGCACCCTCCCATTGTATATTAGGTACGGGCTCGAGTTTGCGGTTGTTTGTGACCGAATCCATTGGGGTCCTCGTTTTGCTGGCTAAATCCTCGTCGTCTGCGTTCCAACGAGACTTGAGTGAGGACAATTAGGCAAAACTCTAGGCGCTTAGCTAATATCAATGTTGCCTCGTCCCAGCCTCGCCATTGTAATTGACCACCTCAACCTCATCTAGAACAGTCTATGGTATTATTCCTTGTTCGACCCGATCCAACTCGTCAAAATCAAAAGCATTTGCCTCGAGCACTTCAACTTCGATAATATTCTGAACTTCTTCAGTCCTTTTCAATTCTTCGAGAGCTGCAAATTCTTCCCAGCCTCCGCAGCTTTTAAGGCGCTGTGGTGTCGAAGGTTTGCACAAATTTTGCCGTGTTTCAAATGTGTCAACTGAGAGATTACACCGTTGTGCAGATTGTGTTATGCCGAGATCAGAGAATGTGTGCTCTACTTCACCTGCATGCCCTACGATCAAGAGGATTGTCACAGAGAAGGCCTTGAGTGGGTGGATTTCGGAAATTATTGGAAGGTTTTTCCACCAAGAAAGGCCGTCTGCTTGGCCGCCAGCGAATGGAGCTACTAGTAGTGACTGATTGTAGGCCTGCAGGTCATCCGAGAGTTTTCTCGTCACCATTATGTCCCATTTCCAGCGCTTTGCAATGTCAAGTGCGACATTCACCATGAATTCGAATGACCTGTCATTGGCTACCTGCATAACAGCAAGTTTCCGACACATTGAGTGGAGAAAGAGAACGAGCAAGTGAACTTCCGCATTCATGACGTTGATCAGTGATGCAAGGACACCCTCCAGCATGCACCATCTTACTTTAGGGATATCGTTTTGCATGTTCTCTTGAATTCCAAACTATGTTATCAGATATCTAAATTACATCTCCACGAGTCTCGGATATCCTGGAGTTGTAGGCGGCGCGCCAGTCCCTCTGCCTGCCCGATTATTTCCATTGCTCTCTACTCTCTCCCACGCCACATTGTCGTGTTAACCGGTACAGACACTTCATAGCACTTCATGCTCCTTATCTTCTGTGTCCGAGCATTTTCTTATTGCCCGTCTACTTGTCCGAGTTCCTGAACAGTGTATACGCTTGCACTGTGAGGATTTACCCTCCGTCCTCTCCCTCCCTCAGTCCAATTCCTGTACCAGCACTGACCCCCTGTACCGTTCATTGTACACCGGCGTTTTTCCTTTCATGATCAAACAGTTTGGAGGGGCACCGGCGCATGAGACGTTTGCATTATGCAACAGTGCCATCGCGACACAGACGAAAAAAATCTTGAAGGATGGCCTCGATGCCAAGGTCTTTGATTCAAGTCTGATATCGGCCACAGCCCACGCCGCGTGCAACGTCGTCATGACGAAGGACCATATATAGCAGCTTCAGATAGGTTTTCTCTATAAACGTGGTCGAGAATACGAGAGCTAAGCAGGATCACGCTGAAGCTTGGCGAGGAGGCTACACTCCATGGTCAGGTGTTCTCGACAGCCTTGAGAGCGTCTAAACACGCTGCAATGGACGTAACAAGGTCGTTCGAGGTGAGAACGAGCAATAGGCATCGACGACCCACTGACACAAATGTTGATATCCGCACCGTCAAAAGTCACTGAGTTCATACAATTACTTGAGTCACACTTCAAATATGACTCGACGTGGTCAATGAGCGCTCATCGGGTGCGCACACATCAAACACGTCGAGTCAATCGGTGAGCGCCCACTGGAACCACGTACAAAATCCAAGGGCTGTAGCGAACACAGCAGGATGAGCCTCAGGATGATACAACGGGTCATAATAGAATACATACTCAGCTACATCATGCAAAACACTGAGAGGAACTCAAGCATTGGTATCAAGTGCACGAGGTTTCATCAAGGGAGATTGATACGTAAATGCTGCCATTTGTAGGGAGGACTCGGAGTCATGGAACCTGCGGCTGACATCAGAAACACAGAGCAATCATGAAGCGGGACGCAGCGCATAACAGCCAGACACGCTAACCGACTGCGAAAGAACGAAAGGAAGAAAGAGGGAATGAAACAGATTGCAGGAAGAACAAAGACCAACAAAACAAAGTAAAATCACATGCGAGAAACGAAATGTCGCTGTACATGCGAAAGCGGCATACAGGTGGCAATGTAACGATCCATTGAAACTTGTAGAAAGTCGTGCAAGAAAGGAATTAACTTCCCGGTCTGTAAATCGAGATACAGGTGCGTCAAAGGCCAATAGTGGGTTCACTTTTAAATAAGGCGAGCATCTAATATACGTCTATCAAACAACCTTGACGGAAATCAGCCGACTTCTCTTCATTAACGTGTTGCGGAGCTACATACCTTTGGTGCTAAGCTGACAATCTTCCCCCAGCCCTTCATGCGCAAATCAGCACTCACAACCCCACCTATACGCGTCCCTAGCATCTCTCTCTTGTTATTCAAAAGGACTGCCGCATTATCATCGAACCTGATGAAACGCCCGTCCGGTCTTCGAACTGACTTCTTGGTTCGCACGATGACTGCTCGACGAACATCTCCACGTCGGACTTTGACCGCAGTGGTAGATGCCTGAGTTGCTGCCGACACTGGGCGCGCGCGTTTGACGACACAGACTATTTCATCACCGACAGAGCCCCAGCCGTTATTGACCTTCTGCTTGAGGACATTGACGCACTCGATGAGTAGTGCGCCGGAGTTGTCTATTACCTGCATGAATTTTGTGAGCTGTGAGGACATAAAGAGCATACAAGACTTCACCGACATTAAGTGTAGACTTGAGCCCAATCATCGTCCTCCAATGACAGACAAAAAAAGCGTCTGAATAAAGTGTGGGACTGGCAGCGACTTGTCGTGAAGTGGGTGGGAATTTATATACATATATATCTTCGATAGCCCTCAGGTATAGGAGTTTTTATATTGTCATAATGTTTCTCAACTGTGTATTGTGACCCGTCAGCTGGTTGATAGCCTTTGGAAATCGGCGTTTACAAGGTCATCAATATTAATGCCAGTTGTTTGAGGTTCATTCACCGCATTACATTCGGCATTTCGTGGACCAAAGTTGATTTGGTTAGAGGGCCATACCGTACGTTTATGGAGATGTATTTTCCACGCGTAGCAGGTACCGATGAAGGACTGCCATGGTCGTGAACTCAATCTCCACCACTGTCTCTCTTTCTCCCTCCACCATCTCTCCACATAATACGTCAGTTTCCGATCAAGAATGCCTGCCTCGCGTCGCGGAAGTGGTAGCTTCACGCTAACCACAGGTCAGACTATCGCCATCCATACCCGGACGCAAGATGAGGAAGACCTCCCCCATGCAACTAAAAAGTACGCAGAGTTGTGCAATAATACTTGACACAGTGGTCTTACCTTTATTATCTTGTGAATCGCAGGACAATGGCTGACCATTTGAGAAAATACGAGAGTTTGTCAGTCACCCTATCAGGGGCTCCAACAATGGATCTACTGAATCCTCGTTGCACAGGTTCACACTCACACCGCAGAGGATGCGGATGATTGTCGAGGCCTTTACTGAGACACTCGAACTTGGCTTGAACAAGCCCAACCAGATTGTAGTGCGTATGTACTCCATACGTCCATACCGAATGAGATCACCTTCTTGCATTTGTTATCTCAAACTCAATTGATTTTTTGCAGTTGGTCATGAGATGAGACGATTCAATTTATCTTTCGATGTTCTTGATTCTTCATGCTCTTCACATTTATTCTATGAGGGATTTCCGACAGTGTGCTGAATTAGTACTTGTAGCCTATGATTCCGACGTACGTGTTTGGATGGCCAACAGGTCAGGAGAAAGGAGATTTCCTCGCTCTTGATCTCGGTGAGTGGTTTGCTGTTTGTGTCATTTTCCCAGGCTCTAAATATACTCATGCGAATAATAGGTGGAACGAATTTGCGTGTCTGTCTTGTGACCCTCCAGGGAGAGGGAAAATTCGAGATTTCCCAAACCAAATATCGTTTGTCTGAGGAGCAAAAACAAGATGATGGCCAGAAATTGTTCGATTTCTGTGCTGAATGTCTACATACCTTTGTCGAAACCAACACGGGCGAGGAGGCGGGCCAATTGAAGCCTGGTCAATCCCTACCTCTTGGCTTTACCGTAAGTCATTAGCTACCCTAACGTCATCCTTCTGACTATGTATTATTCAGTTCTCCTACCCTTGCTCGTAAGTGCGCATGATGCAATTGTTAGTTCAGTGCATGCCAGATCAACTTGTTTTCGGTATCTAGGCAGGAACGCATTGACCACGGCGAGCTCATCCGCTGGACCAAAGGTTTTGGAGCTGGAAACACGGAGGGTAGGGACGTTGCCGAGATGTTCAAGAAGTCTCTCGAAAAATACGTACGTTCCACCTATCTCAAGTTTCTATTCAATACTGACTCGCATACGAACAGCAATTGCCCATCAAACTGACCGCTCTTATCAATGATACGACTGGAACATTAATCGCATCACACTATGTGAATCCTAAGACGAAGATCGCGGTTATCTTCGGAACTGGTTGTAATGCGGCTTATATGGAGCACATCAAGGATATCCCCAAAATTGAGCATTTGGGTATCGATCCTGGAGCTGAAATGGCGATCAATTGTGAATGGGTCCGTAGGGTTTGATCCCGATCTCAACACCATATAATTGACGAGTTTGGCAGGGTGCGTTTGATTCATTCGAACATGAGCATCTACCTCGCACGAAATACGACACGATCGTCGATGATACTTCAAATAAGCCTGGTGAACAGGCGTTCGAAGTGAGTTACTACATCCGTTGTGCAACATCATTAACGTGACATATCAACTGTCCAGAAACTCATTTCTGGCCGGTACTTGGGCGAGATTCTGCGATTAGTTCTTTGTGAACTCATCGACGAAGGTGTTCTTTTCCTGGGACAGAACACTTACAAACTCGAGAAACCATACTGCTTCGACACCGCATTTTTGTCTCTCATGGAGAGGTACCGCATTTCCCACTCGATGTGAAAATGCGCAGACGCTCATCGTCGTGTTCTCAGTGACCCAACGGACGAGCTTCTCATGGTTATAGGAATCTTCACACACTTCTTCGCCCTCGAGACGACGCTCGCGGAACGGCAGTTCTTCCGGGCTCTTGCGAAGCTCATTGGAAGGCGTGCGGCTCGTTTGAGCTCCTGTGGTATTGCTGCAATCGTCAACAAGATGGGTTATCTCGAGGAAGGCTGTTCGGTCGGGGCCGATGGCTCCTTGTACAACGTAAAAGCCCTATTTTCTGCACTTGCTACAGGATGTTTACGCCTCTACAGAAATACCCTGGGTTTGCCGATCGTGTGCACGAAGGTTTGCAGGACATTTTCGGCGATAAGGGACGGTGAGTAGTTCTTGTTTGATATGCCCTTTCCCTCCCAATCTAAGCGCCATGGAATTACAGCAACATTGTCACGTATCACGCCGAGGATGGCAGCGGTGTAGGTAGTGCGATTATTGCAGGTCAGTGTCGTCATCTGTCGTCATCTCAGTTTTTCGGTGAGCTTATGCTCGTATCATTTTAGCCATGACGAAGCACAGGAAGGATGCCGGATTGTACCTTAATGTCTGATCATATTATTTGCATGCATAAGAGGGGAATACGGAATACGGAAGTCTTTGCGTTTATGTACTTTGTTATATCTGTCGTGACACTTGAAATTGATTTTCCTTAAATGTCCTAAGTGCGACGCGGCTGGTCATGCTTACGTTGGCAGTCATTTCTTTGTATGTGAAACCCTTCTATTGTGTCGAAGATGTCCCGTGGATGAGAATGGGTATATACAGTATGCTAACTGTTCTTGACAACTCCAAGATAACTACATAGATCTCGTGAAGGCATTGCAACGAAACCATTGTCACATAAGGTAGCTACACATAAAATCTGAATCACCCCCACGAGTGTTTCATACCGCTCTACCAAAGACATCGCCCTCATTCGCATAATGTTCGGTAGATTCCATCGGATATGATACCTTGGGAGAGCGTATTGATTCGTCGCGGGTGGTTTCTTGGTGAAAGGAAATCTCAACGTTCAGCGGAGTGGTTGCGGGTTTTGGTAAGACCGACTGCCGCTGCAATGGGATGGAGTTTTCGTCCATGAGGGTGTTGGAGCGAGTCGTCCAGGCCTTGCCCACTGCGATGCGGTAGAGAATAAGGAGTGGGGCAACGACCTGGAGTACAAACGTAAATCACAATTCGTTCCGAGTAGTATAGGGACACTTACCTGCGCCTCACCCAGTAATTGCATGAATGCATATGAGATCGGGCTGTTGAGGGTATACGGTACGAGGTAGAGGAGCGAACATATCGAATAAATGGCGGCGGATTCGATAACGATGGCTGCGAAGCTGGCGTACATCGCGCCGTGGCCTAAACCAAGGACTTTGGATATTCGGTGGCGGTGGTATAGAAGGCGTACGACAGTGAGAAGGCTGATGAAGATATTGATGGCAAGGGAGAAGCAGAGATATGGGAAGAGCAAGCTAAAGGACATCCAGCCGCTTACGGATTGTACTGGTGTTGAGACAATGACAAGCCAGAGCGTTCCTGTGACTTGTGAAGAGTCAGGATGGATTGCGAGGACGCATGTAGGTCTGGCACATACTCAGAGTTCCGAGGAACAGAATAGATCCAAGTCCAACGATGATGTAGTAGAGTCTAGTATCTTTGTATACTACTGTACACCGCCAGATCTACGGTGCGTGGTCAGTGGTGGGGATGGGGATGGGAGATACAACTGTACACTTACCATCAACAGGTCTGCACACCAATCCGAAACCACGAAAGCAGTGTTTAGTGGAGGTGACGAGGTTGCCTCCTCGTACGCACTAGGACCTGAGCAAAACATAAGTACGAGATGCAGTCTATTTCAAAGTTGCACATACCTCCGGGATATAAACGATTGTCAATGAAGCCCATTTGCGTTATCCAGGAGTTGAACGCTACATATATCGTACCAACCGCAAAGAGGAAAGCGACATAGCATAAGAGGAATCTGTTCATCTTGTAGCCATTGCCATGAGATCGAGCGCGGGGCCAGAGGGAGCGCCAACACATGGCGGACAGGACGACCACCACGCCATAAAGGACGCCAGTGACGATGGCCCCCTGCAGCCATGCGCCCTCAGCATAGATCTGTGCATTGGATTCGTCAGGGCGGTAAGACATAAGTACTTAGGTAGCACCGTGACTGCAGCAGAGTGCCAATCTAAAGGTCGAGAACTATATGCTGCTGTCCGAGAGTCTAGCCGTTTTGGCATGGTATACATATATATCCTATCACTTCACCCCAATCACGTCGTGACCGCTGAAGCGCTGAGTGCTGATAGGCTGATTGTGGGTAATTTTCTTTTCCAAGACGTTGCGCTCGTTGTCGGCGCTCGAGACCATGACGGCAGGGTCGTGAGATACGCTTGTACTACCCGACGGAATCTCCCATTTTAACTTTGATGGAACTGAGTTGGTGGGTGAGTGACCAGCCTGACATCCGAAAATTCTCAGTTCCGTACTTCAACGACGTTGCAACGTTACGACAATTGATATTGCTCCTTCAAGCCTATGCAAGACCCCGAGGAGCCCAGATCCAACTTTCGCTGACGCCGCGTCTCTTTCGTCATCACGCTCTGGCCTCCACTCATTCACTCCTTCAACATCAACCATGCGAACGCTTCGATGCCGCCACCTATGATATATGAAGGACCGTCGACATACTTATATTATCACATCACACATGCAATCAAGTACTACAGTTCCGAGTCCATGCAATACGGCACTGAAAGCGCTCAGTTGATCCCGAATGGGAGAGACATGTTAAATAATGCATGTTTCTCGACAGCGGATCCCATGAACTGTCACACTTCATTTTTTTCACTTCTTCCTACAAAGAACTTCCAACACTTGATCAATGATATGTCTTTTTTTCTCACCTAGATGCAGTTGTCAGTGCTGATAGCCTGTTTACAGTTGGCATACCTCTAAGTTACTAACCCGATATGACCATTATTTCCGATGCTTCTCGCCTTCAATCCAACCCCCCAGACTACTAGTTCAACGAATCCCGCGTCTCGGTCTAGCCTAATTATCGACAACTCCGTGGTTTGGTCGGTACTACCTCACGACCATTTATTCGACTTATCGATCAGCGTCGCACTTGTGAGTTGGAGCTCAGTACGGATACAATTCAGCACACAACTAATTAATACAAAGGATCTGCTCAAGGTACTGCTACTACTCGAGGATCAGCAAGTCATTGTGGATGCTGACGCGTGTTGACCCGTCTCACAAGTTAGGACGGTGGGGTGACGGGGGTCACTGTACCCGCAGTTTGAACGGTGATTGTTCATACCTTGAACTTCTTGAAGTGATGCAATTTCAGGGAACCGAATATTAACAAGGAACAGGGGACGGTAGACTCGATTCCAGGGAGCCGAAAAGTTTCGGGCGAATAACGACTGGGGATACTCGGTGGGGATGATATTCGGAAAAAACACCGACTCCCCATGGCGTAAGTAAATATTTGCAAATGAACAGTCTTACCGTGAGTGGAATTTTGACTCGGAGGCAGTCAACGGTAATTTTTTGGGTGCAGTGCGGCCTGATGCGGCACTGGCAGCGCCTATCCTATAGTAGGCCAACCTAAAGTCAACTTGACAACTGTGGCAGGCGAAAGGAGAATGGCGTAAAGCGCATAGTCATGTGAGTTTCGGAGCTTGATTGTGGCATTGCTTTCGAATAGAAGGAAACTGCTTTTTGTCTTTCTTTAGGTCTCAAGTTACGGGGTGTGCGTCATCGCAGCCAAGGCCCAAGGTTTGGTGAAGTATGAAGCTCCAGTACGTTCGCTGACGTATCGTCATTTCGTGACTTTGGGGCGCAGCAACAAATGAGTAATGACTGACCGATCCAATTTAGTGCGCGGCACAAAGCGTGGCGCCACATTGTTTCATGTCATCGGAAGGTTCGGCTTCTTAAGTTAATCATGACGATGGTTCAATCAACGCTGTACTCCCTTGTATTCTCAAGAAGGTATTTGCGCCGTCACGAACTTTGTCAATCACGTAGACACGGCTACAGCCATGACGAGTACTAGCTGTAACGCCTGGGATATCGCGACTTCAGGGATCAGATGGGACACCAGGGGTCTCATAGATTAGAAAGGACTTTCCTACATAGGGTATATACCTTAATTAATGGACAAAAAGCTGGTGTTAAAAAAACCGTGGTGTGAGAAGAGATGTCGTGCCATAGAACTCCTGTCTTGCGTATTCCATCAAACATAGTGACAGTTTTGTTGGAGTCAGTAGCAGCTAAGGTACCAGGAGCGACCTCGTTGACGTCGGACCATGTACGAGCGCAATGAGTCGTTACAATCGGCCGAAGTCTCTCGACGGAATGTCTCAAAAGGATATGTTCGTTATTCCTATTCTACCCGTATCTCAAAAGAACGTGCCCCGTCGTAAAACATCTCAGTTCTTTTACCAAGGCTGAGGTAAAACATTCCCTTATGGCTCACTCCCCGCGTCTTCGCTCGCCTCTGATCCCCAGAAGTTCTTCTGTAACTTAGAGTGTATCATGTGCGATTGAGTTCGGGTTACCGCGACGTTTGTTACAGTCAAGGAAGTCCAGCATGTAGGTGCGGAAGCCTGTTGATTGATCCCCTGCAGGAAGCCAGGGTCGATACTTACAACCCTGTTACAATGAGTTGATTTGGGGATCTGGTAAGTAATTTCCTCACCGGGTAGTTTCGTAATCCGCATCAGCCCAGTGACTGTTGCGTGAAGATATGTAACAGGCGGCTGGTTGATCATGCCATCACGAATAGACATGTGAGTCGGAATAAAATAGTACTAAGTAGAGTTGGGGCTAGGTGGGGTATTACCAAGAATCGCCGCAGATGCATTACAGGCTGCCAAGCTTGAAGAAGTATTTGTTACGAAGTTAACGGCATGTACCATCATAAACTCTCGCGATGAAATCTCGACCCGCATTTCCTCGGGTGACACCAAACGAAGGTGGATCGGTCAGCGATGGCCGACAAATCAATGCAGGTTGTGGGGAAATCCGCCTCGGAGGTAGTGGACTAGTATTGATCGCAGGATCCGCACCGGTCCCTGGATCATGATCGGAATGACTGAGATACTGGCATTGATCGCGCCGGTCCCGGCTTCTGCGTCCTGCTTGGAATGCTTGAGATACTAGTATCGTTGGTAAGGAATCGGCGACGAGTTCGGGAAATCGGGAATGTCAGTAGTGGCTCAGTAATAATCAAGAAGGAAAGACTGTTTCCTTCTAGATGGTCTGGCTAGGGGATACTGACCCAGAAGGGCTCCCAGTCAAAATGGGTCCCGTCCGTCTCTCTTGTCTCCTTCTGGCATTGTTTTGTTGAAGCCATACTTCCGATGGATCGAAGTTGATATCAAGGTTCAAAGTATTGATACACCGTCCCGGACTGCCAGCTTCTGACGGTGTTTTGAAGAGTCGGTGACAGCATCAAGATCACGACATACATGGGAGAGATGGACCATCGATTGTGAGTTTGAGCACTTGGGGAAAGCGAATGCACACACATAGGCCGCTGATGTATCTGGCACAGGCACAGGATGTAGATCACCCAGGAATTTCACCAGCGAGTAATCGCGGAGGCTGATCGCGGCCTGTTGATCTAACGTAATTCGAGGTTACTCAAGTGATAGAAATTTCCCCTCGGAAACACACGCGCAAGACATACGCCCCAAGACTGCAGGGTTATTCGATTTGTCTTGATATGAAGGGCGCGAGAGGCCGGCCAGGCTTGAAATGTAGTAGAGACAAAAGCACCGGAGGGACGGTCCACGCATAATCATGATGTGAATTGATTAGTTCTGACATCGGAGACTAGAGCGTCAACGCACGAGGATAACGATATCAATGCAGATAACGTACATCACACGCGAACGAATGATATCGCACAGCCAAAAAATAGACTATGATCATGATAAGTCGTAGAGATGAGAAAGGATTGCCAGCCGACTTGGATCAGAACCCTCCACGCTTCGTGGGAGTCGCACATGCCCGCCGAATCAGTTAGAAGCCTTATCAGAAGTGCCTGCTGTGATTGAGGCCTGAAGGTGAGCGATAGCCCATAGGAAGACATTGTGAGTAACAATTTGAATTTGACAACTTGAAACAACTTCAAGTTGAAACCAACATTCGGAATCCTACGCCGGGCAACAGCTGAGCAATTTATTTAGGTCAAGTTGTCATAGAGTAGAAACGTGCGTTATCTGTGCGGATTCCTGATGTACGTGAAGAGACAAATCCTAGGGTTCAGACAGCATCAAGGGAAGTTATCTTACGACTGCTAATTACGCCGACGTACCGATTATGTATTCGATGAGCAACGTTTGTAATTCGCAGGTCTCAAGATAAGGCTGGCCCATCGGTCATGATGTGAGAAAAAGAATGGTCCGATTCATAATAAAATGCCCCGTGGAAGCAAAAGTCGAGGCAAGGTTGAGGCCAGCGGGCAATTCCGCAATGAACTAGATCATCTGATGATGTTTTTGAAATAGGATCCAAATTTCCGGGCTTCAAGCTTCAAAGCCGCAACGTAAAAGTTAGCTTGTACAGATTAGCGCCAGTCCTTGAAGGTTAATTCGAAACCTTCGCGAAGCTCTGTGACTGCTCCGACTCAGTCAGGTACCATGATGATCTCAACTCGAAAGTTTAGTACTTACTAGTAGTCGCCGCTAGACTAGTCTGTAATGCTGGAGCGATAGAATGAAACTGAAAATTGGCCGCAAAGTGAACTGCCATATTCACTAGTTTTATGATAATGCTATGATCATCGCAACTGCGGAACATCGGAGGCCAGGCCAGCTTGCAAAGGCTGACGAAACGGGCCGTGAGACAAGATCTCGATCGTGTCACTTTCCCCGCATATTTATTACGGATTTCCAAACAAACTGTTTTTAAATATATTTTCTCGTCCTCTCCCTTTATAATCAACTCGACTCACCCTGGCTCACCTTTATTTTATCTCTTCTTGACTTTCCGTCACCTATAATTTTTCAGAAGCTCGCATGATCCTGCTATGAAGGTACTGAGAAGCCCTGCCTCTATCCGCATCGTCAGGCCTACGACCGCTCTCAAGCCCCCAAATGTCTCTCGAAAACTGGCAACCGCAGTCTCCATAACCCCCCCTTCCTACCTCTCTCTACCACCCCCGGGTCCACCCAAACCTCTTCTTCAAGACCCTAGGCCTCCTGGTAAGCAATGAGGCATTTTGGCCGTTCCGTTTAACTCAAAAACCTTCAGTTGTCACTGCCTTGGGAACCGAATATAACGAGAATCTCTTCCGATACACCTCCGGCAGGTGGTTGTACAATGAATCCCAGCAGATGGCTCAACGTTACATCAAGTTTGACGTCGCTGCTCTGCATCGTATCATTGCCTCCGTCTGCCATTCCCCTGTGGTGTCCATGGAGAAAAAGGAAGGTCT